AAGTGGATTCGTTGGCCGTGAGAAAGGCAGTATTTTGCGATGGCAGTCAGTTGCTAGGGGTGACTTTTTCCAATCAAGAAAATAATCAGCGCCACTAGCATACAATCAGTCGTAATGGGAACACAAGACGTATTATGCAGAGAATTCTAATGAAGTGAAAAGAACTGGAGTCGCTCGTCAAGCGGTTCAAATCTGATATCGCAGTCATATTCAAAAAATAGAATTATGATCAAAATTTCCTTCCAGGTGGATCTTTGTAAATCCTTCGCCCTCAATCCATGGTTGTTATTTTGAATTTTGTTTTCAAGATTATCCTTTATGTCATTTGTATTTTTTCTTCTATTGCTAGCTGTTGTTCTGCAGGCAAGTCTAAATTCTAGCGAACTCAGGTGCTCTCCTAAGTTTTTGTGCTTTTTTATTGTTTTCGCTGTTTCAAATGATGTTTTTCATGTGACAAATAAGTCAGTTCACCATTTCCTCCTGATTTTTGTTTCTAAAGTTGACAACATGAGATTCAGCAACAATTACGTTGTGCAGATCTCATGTGCATCTCATCTATTAGGTTGTCTCATAAATAGTGTCGCTTTTTTTCAACCAAAAAATTTTCATCTAAATCCCCATGCTTTTACATCGTTCATATACCATTCGAAAGAGAATTGTCTGCTCTACAAGATGCTATGTTCCTCTTCCACCTCTGTTCCAGGGTTTTCAAATTTTAGGCCTGCGAAATGGGAGGTCCCGCCGACAAAAATTGACCAAACCGACAACTAGCTCTAACTTTATTTTCCCTGGGAGAAATCAATCAATGATGTACCCTCTACTTACTCATGACCTCTTCTGAACATTCCACCCTTAGGTAACGCTATTGTTTTATATCAACTGGTGGTCCTTTTGTGAGCACTTCTTCTGCTCTATTCGCTCATTTGTTTTGTTTTTATGTTTGTTGGGAATTAGTTCGAATTTTAGGTGTTTAGGAATAAGGTGCTTTATCCACGAAAGTGACCGCATTTCTTTGAAAAAAATTATCCCTGAGAAAGATGAGAAAATCAACCAGGCGTACATTCCTAACTTAGTCATGACTTGTTCTTTAAATTCTACTAGTTTTTCAATGTCTCGGCTATAAAAAAATTTCGACCTAGATCTCAGGTAATGGTGCTCGACCGTCGAGTTCTGGTTGAAAAACCAGGTCTGGAAATGGAACGACGCGACTTGTTGGGAAACCTAATAGTGTAATGTTTAGAAGAGGTCATGCATAAGTAGAGGGTACATTGATTGATTTCTCCCAAGGGAAGATAAAGTTAGAGATAGTTGTCGGTTTGGTCAATTTTTGTCGGCTGGACCTCCCATTTCGCAGGCCTAAAATTTGAAAACCTGGAACATAGTGGAAGAGGAACACAGCATCTTGTAGAGCAGACAATTCTCTTTCGAATGGTATATGACTCGATGTAAAAGCATGGGGATTTAGATGAAAATTTTTTGGTTGAAAAAAAGCGACACTATTTATGAGACAACCTAATACTAAGGCGAAATGTGAGGGATAAGAAAGGAAAATACAGTTCACAAATAAGATGAGAAGCCCATTCAGTGGTCACACTAGATAAATAGCGATACAATGTGTTTTAAAGAGAAATCGGAATTGAAAAAAAAATTTGCACAATAAAGTATCTGGCGATTAGCAGAATAAATTACTTGTCAGATTCATAACCAAGCAGAATAGAAGGATCAGCACTGACGTGGACCATCCTTACTTGGAATGCGACAAGCATTTTTTTACTGCAGTCGTGGTGACATTTTTCTTGAAGGGGCAGTTCCAGATCGAATTTGCTGGTAAAAGCGATCTATGATGAAACTGTGGATGAGGGTTAACTGCGAATGAAAAAAGAAGGAAGGAAAACCGCCGATGAAGCCCCTAAATAAGGACTCCTCTGTTCCTCTTGAAATAAGGAAGGGGCGGGCCGAACGAGTTGTGCGAACTGGCTAGTCAGGAATCATTATTACTGAAGACCTGCAACTGCTTTCCATTGTTAAGAAGAAATTCGTAGCTTCCAAACATGGTGCTAACCTAGTTGTGGGGGCTGGGAGGGAGAATGCGGCAAAGTTCTGTTTTTCTGCTACTCCAAGGCTTAGTCGCAAGCAGGGTGAATAACGGTCGAGGAATTTCCTCGACCATAGCTCTCTACCATGCGAGAGTAGTGCCGAGAGTGAACATCCGCGCGGAGAGCACAGACGGCACGCATGGCGAGTGTGAATGTCCGCGCGAGAGATCGTGTCTGATCGGGCAGAGAATCCTCGACGTGCCGTTGAGGAATCCTCAAGCGATATTCACCCTGGTCGCAAGGGCAGTTACTATTTGTCATCACGTGGCAGTTTCGAGATACGCGCCATCGGGGAATAAGCCTTGGACGAGTAGGCGAAAAGAACGCCGCGCCGCTGCGTCGTCCCCCCTCCCGACTAAGTTTGCACCCCATACATTACAGTTTCTGCGGCAAAAACGGCGCACGTTTGGTCAAGAAGCATTCAGATTGCCAGCGCAGTTGGGAGCACAAAACAGAACGGTTTAAGAAATCAAGTCTAATCGTAAGTAGCCCCTGCAGTCCCTAAACGGTCGCACATGTCTACGCAACCAAGCCCGCGATCTCTAGGTAGGAAGTGAGCGGAGTCAACGATTAGGCGGAACCAAGGAGTTCAGGTCTCTTTTAGCGGCTTTTTGAGGTGCGTTTTTTGCTCAGTGACACCTTCTTACGTTCTTGATTAGGGCTTAGGCATCTCATTCACGCCATTAGGATCGGAAGTATAAATCCTGTCGGGACTCTTGCTCCAAGTAAGCAGCAATAAGTAGACGGTAGACCGCTCTTCTTCATTGCGCATTCCTGTCTATAGTAATTTAGGGCATTAGAAGTTTTTGTTAAAAAAAACGGTAAACGAACAAGAATTTGAAAGCATTATAGAATTGGTTGATTGAGACTGCTCAATTCCTGCGTAACAAATGACGATTTGAGTGCCCTACTCTTGGAATTCTGGAAGGCAGAACAGAAGCCGGACAGCTCGGCACTGTCCTCTCTAAATATAGATTTCCAGATCAGTTCTTCCAAAGCTGACCGCAGGAGGTTCTTCACAAGGAGTGCGATGTGAGATTGGGAGATGTGATGCACTAGGAAATACTGGAAAACAGAATTACTAGCGACAAGAAGTTCGATGTGGCAGAAAGAAGTGGACAAAGCTGTTCAGTGCAAGGTTAAATAGCCAGTAGTAAGCCTCACCACCTCACGACAGTGTAGACCTACGCGACAAACTCGAGCTAGCGTTCTCCAAAAGCTCGATTGAGTTATATTGCGTGTTCCTCTTTGTTCGTGCTTTGTACTGACCGATAATAGAGCTTCATTCGCTCTTTGTTAAGCAATCTGTACCGCCCTCTGATATGAAAATAGAGATTTCGCAGAAAGGGGCAGAAGAGGGCGGTACAGATTTATTGAACTACCATTTTTAAAGAAAAACATCAACAAAAGCACGATGAACGCAGTGAATGTGTGTCGTATATACAATTGGCATAATAACAAAAGAATCGTCATGAAATAACGACGAGCTCCACTGGAAATAAACACGGCAGAACTTTTTGAGACAGCTCAGCAATTACTTTGCACAACCCATATGCAAGGCTGCCGCAGGCATTTCTCAGTCGTTTTTGGGAAGGCGCCTTCGAATTTACTCGGTGACGTGAGCACACGTGGGCTATGGAAGTTCTTGCTTGTGACGTCACTTCGAGCAAAACTAGTTGAACTTCAGTTTGAACACTAGTTTACGTGTATGTGAATGTTAGGTGCTTCTCCATGAACATCTCAGGGAAAGCGGGCATTTAAAGGCAATAGTATTGAAGAACGGCGGCGATAGCGATGATAACGGTTCATTCTGCTTCATCATAGATTTTCGTCAAATGAATTATAAAATGGAATTCGTTCTATTTGGTTGCAAGATGCTGCCTACAGCAAAAACCGCAGATGATGCGAACAAAGTGCTCGTGCAGAGCAGTTTTGCACTCGAGTCTATATTATCTATCCACTCGTAAAGAAAGCCGGGAACAATAATTGGGGTGATTCCTTCTTCACCACATTGACGACAGAGCGTAGTGTATGCGGCCCGCCCCTTGCACGGCGCGTGGGACATTGTGAGCCACGTGCGGCTCGCAAGATGCAACGCGGCCATTTCGTCTATTTTTTTCCTGCGTGTGGTTCGCATGCACGGCTTGTTCCCAAGATTTGTTTGCGTTTATTCTACATGTCATACTTCACCATCACCACAAATGAGGTTGCACAAGAGTTTTCTGAGAGTTACGAAATCTTCAATTCAGCCAATCCTTCGTTTTGATTAATTTACATGTTTTTGTTGTTGTGTTGTTTAACTAAAAACATAGCAAAGTAAAGTAGTAAAAAACAAAGCAACATAGCAAAGTAAAGTAGTAAAAAACAAAGCAAAGTAAAGTATTACAATAATAGAAGCAAACCCAGCGCAAGGTAATACATATTATACATACAAATACAAATCTACATGGGCGGCAATATACCCGTTTTCACTGACAGATCAAAGAAGCATGCTTTCCCTATAAATGAGAGTTGTCACGATCTTTTGGTTGAAATTCTAGTATACACCCTCATATAATTTGTCATTGAACATTGCAATGATTATTTTGTTGCATCATTTTATGTTTACCTGCCACTAAAAATTCACGAAAGTGAGGTGAAATAGCCAAACTCGCAAAATCACGTCATTACGTCACGGCCAAAAAATCTCGAAAAAACGTTCGCTTTCGTCAATGTCACAAATATGAGCATGAATGTTAAAAACACAAAATTCAGGAGAGTCCGTTTGGGCATTGCCTAGGAAGCCACAAAACTTCCCTGGACAATGGCGTAAGTGGAATCCATGCGAGCATCGTGGTCCTATCAGCTGTGTTGAGGTAGAGCTAGTGTGTTCTTTGACTCTTTCCGCATAACAATTATGTTGGCATGGAATGGAGCAAGGATAATACGCATGCGACTAGGGAAATGGCTAGCATCAACAACATGGTCATGCCAAGTTCATGAATGATTTCATGGACTCAGTCCGGGAACTCTAGCAAACCAGAAATAGAAAATGGTCCAGAACTTTTAAAGGAGTAGAATCAAATGGACCAAGCAAACATGACATCACGTTAATTGAAGAAAATTCAGTTTTTTATATTCACAACATGCGCTCCTAAACGTGCACGATGCAGGGAAAAGTAAAAATAGCAACTTATAGTCTAACATATACTAAAGCTAAGGTGTGAAAAGAATGCAATTGGCCGTGAACGCCGGGAAAAAAAACTTTCCCGAAAACTATTTCCATTGTGTTCGCAGGTGCACGAATAGGTTTCTCCTAATCTCATGCACTACATACGAGCCCTTGACAGCCTGGCACGAGCACTCGCGAAACATTTAAAGACATGACCCACTAAAACTAAATGACTACCGTAAACAACAATTGGGAAGTATGAACAATCTATTCAATTTCACTTTAAGTCCCCCAAAAATGGTGCGATGGAGCAGCACGGCCGATGTCAAACTTTGCAAAAACAATTAGAGGAGGCGTCCGCGGTCGCGTCGCGGCTGGCGAATCGCTCGATTCGCAAAGTTTGACACCGGCCTAACTAGCGAGATCGAACATTTCGACCAGCGTGTAACCAGTCAGAGACAGGTCCCAAGAACACATTTTACTTGCGGTACAACCTCATTAGTTTTAAACTATCGTCGGAATGTATAACACAAAGATGCATCAAAATTTTATTTCAAAAGAATTCCAAAGGCTCACAAATTTTTTTTCAGGTATTGAAAGAATTCCAAAATCCCAGAAACCAAAAATGCAAGTTGAAAAGAAAATTTTTTCTTTTTTTTGGTTTTTAGAATTTTGGAATTCTGTCGAATACTTAAGAAAACTGTGAACTTTTGGAATTCTTTTGAAATAAAATTTTGGTGCCTCTTTGTGTTATACAACATTTAGGTCCTGATGAGGCTCCGGGACAGCACAATACTAAGATATCGTTGGAATCACACTTTCCAGCAGACTTTTTGAGAAAATTATTACATTGATCTTTCATTAAATTGATCTCAATCAACCACGGTCAAGTGCGTCGTGTGACCGATTTCACTTGAAAATATTATACGATAACCGCACCTTACCCCCGCCCCCCATTGCCTATGGAATGGTGTCGAAGTGTGATTGAACATGGTTTCCTGAAACGATTTCAAAGAAGCCCGCGGAGACAGAATCCGCCCCCCCCCCCAAAGTAACCAAGAGCTGCTCCTCCATGTTATCCAAGAACACCTCACATCCAAGATTACAAAATACGGTCTTCACGTAAGATGCGGTCAATAGAAGGGGACACCCACTCTGCTTCGGAGGAAACTGATCAAAACTTCCGTTGGCAAGCAAAGGTGATGAGGAAGAAATCACAATTATTTTTTTTTTGAAATTTTGTATGTAGGGAACAGTATCAATACATTGTTGACTGTAAACGAATCCGATGTGGAATAAAAAAGAGAACAAGCAAATTCAAGCCCTAATCTGCCCTTTTTTTTGCTAATTGACGTAAATTAGCATTTATAGTTAATTAGGTAGTGATGTTGATTTCACGTGTATGCCATCAGTCACGCGACCGAAGCGGAACAATGACGGAATTTATTTTCTGCTACATAGATGTGCTGAGTTCACGTTCTCATCAGGGCAACGGTAATGACAGCGTCTCCAGGCTTCAAGTTTTTCAAGCGCCTAAGTGAATAACGGGCTTCATTGAAATTTATTAGGTCGTGAAGAAAGTTCTTGCGCTTTTCGACCTTGATTTTCAAATGCCTGTATCTCGGCTCATTCGAAACCTTTTTGATTGGAGTAAAGACTGTTAGAATCCACAAACCTCTGCCAATAATAGCTGCGTTGAATCAGCCCGGTAGTGCAGAATACTGGAGCTCTAGAGACGATGAACCCGGCGGAGGTCGTTTCCGCATCATGTTGGTTTTTGAAGCATAACTCTTTGGAGAAGCTATCCAGGTAGTCGAGAAAGTGACAAATTATAGGCAAAAGGTCTACCGAGTAGGATGTTCGCAGGACTAATTCGTAGCCAATCTTGTCAACTTCTGCAGGGTTGGTTGTGGAATGTGCGTCCGAGCTACCTGTCAGGGACGAGCCGGTTCCTTTATAATGAGGAATTTCGAGCATATGTGCCAGAGTTCTAGGAGTAGTTTGACACATTATCAGGAGTACTTTTTCCACATTAACAGATCCACCTGGTTACGAAAAGCTAGACCAGCCGCTGACCTTATGAAAGTCACCTCAACCTTCCTTCAGTGAAGTTTCACTTTTGCAAAGTTTGTAGAGCCTGATCGCGGTCGATCACTTCACCAAAGGTTCGTATTCTGTAGCAAAGAATCCGTTTCTTTGTCGTGCGTCGCAAATGATCAAAAAGTCAGGTCGTTTCATGGCATGAAACAAGCTAGAACGCGGCGAACGACCTACTTCAAAATGGTGTTGTGACTTTCCAGCTCTTCCCGTACAACAAGAAAACACAGTGCAAGTGCGATCTGTTTAGGAGAAACCCTCATAGATTTGTGCAAACGTGCTTCAACCAGAACGCTCGACTAATCGTTGGCGTCCAATCTCCGATCACCACCCTCAGGCCGATGTCAGACTTTGCGAATCGTGCGAATCGCTGGCGTCTCTGCGGTCGCCATCGCGGCCAGTGAAGACACTCAATTGCTGGTACCCGCACGACGACGCGACCGTAGCCAGCGAATCGCGCGATTCGCGAAGTCTGACATTGGCCTCACAATATTTAGGGCTCTCGCTATTCTTACAAAGCTTTTTGAACAATTGCTTCAGACCATATTGCGAATCTCAGCCAAGTGCGTCTATAATATCTTGACCTGCTTCCTCTCCATACTGGCCTGCTTTGAGCTAGAAAAAGGAAATCATGCAAATTTGCTCTTGGAGTATGCCGTATTCAAGGCTTCAAAAAATGACAACTAATAATAAGGAACATAGCTAGCCTAGCTGTTAGATAGAACAAGAAAAGCTCTTCAAAACCACATACAGCTCATTGGCAGCTTGCTTGAATTCGTAACAAAATAAAGCGTTCAAAAACGAAACACCGAAAAGCGCAAGAACTTTCTTCACGACCTAATAGTTTCTATAAAACCTGACACTAAATTTCTTAGAGAAGTTCCACTCTGTTTTTCATGCATTTACTTCAAGCACAACAAGCACAACTTTATAAATAAACAGTAAAATATACAATCTCTCTTTGTTTTTGTATAACTTTCATATACAACTTTCAAAGGGCATGAACGCCCACCACAGATGGCAACTGTTCGGCTATTTTTCATTGAAGTTCTCGGCTCGAAATTACTGCTACTTTGGTTGAAAAGTAAGCTTCAACAATTACTTAGAGCCTTACAAATGGTCTTGAGTTTTCGGATGTTAATGGAATGAGGCGTGCATCCGTCTGTCCCCGAGCAATCAATCATCCGAGATAAGCATAAGAAAATAGGCCATTGCCAAGGAATTTATAGGAACGATCGAAAGTTGTATAGAGGGATGTGATGATATGAGCACACCTTAAAGAAGGAGGTAATACTGACCCAATACTTGCAGAGCCTAAAAATGACAGCGGCTCTAGAATCACAAATACGATAATAAAGCAAGCAAAGCAAGGGCAGGTGAGTTGATTCTCGACATGCGCCATATGTTTTCACTTGAGGAGCTCGCTATAAGTGCGAGCAGTATAATGGCGCCCATGTTCAGTGAACTGAAAGATGCAAAACATGCTAGCGCAAGACGGAACAACCTTAACCATGGATGTTTCTTGAGTGACCGAAACGCAATGGGCTTGGGCAAGTGGAAGGGCTGGTAGGATGGTTTTTCATAACATTTTTTATTGTGCGGGAAAAGTATCGGTTGCGAGGAGGCGCGGCCTAAGGTCGGACGGCACAATACCCCATCTCAATTAGTGATAAAGGTGAGGAGTTAATCGTTACACCAAATCCCTGGGGCGCGAGATGACAGAGCTCCATTGCAAGCAACAATTTACCCTTGCATTACCCTTGATGGCTTCGCGGAATTAGGTACCTAGACACCTCATTCATGTCAGGTTCATAATGGGATAATATGGGGGCTTTGATGGAAAATCTTTGGCTAGACTTCGCTGTATCCCTAGAAAACTTACAAATAGAATTTATTGATGAGTGATTGTGATATACTTGTTGTTGATGTAATGAGGTGAACCATTTATCTGAAAACCATTGCGGCGTATTCAGGAAGGAGAAAAATAATCACTCTCCTTATATTATGAAACATTTATCGGAAGGGATCTTGCTCAGTCAGTGCTAATGCTACTAGGAAGCTGTCCATCAGTTAATCATTCAAGAAATTATGTAGCAGCTTCAGGCTGGAGCGATTACGGTAGGCCTCCTTGAGCTCGACGGTGACGGCAGATGACGTCATATTCTGAAGACGGTGAGGGCAGTGAAGGAGGGCCTGCTTCTGCTTGTGTGAGACATCTAAGAAATATTGTCCATGAACAGCGACACCCTGAGCGACCAAAAATTTGGTGATGTGTGCAATGACTCCTTTTTTGCGCAATGACTCCTTTTTTTGACTCCCCTCTCCGGGAGATGGTCAAGAGTCCCCCGCGACCGCCGCGCTAAAACTAGGTCACCGCGCGCGACGTCGCCGGCGTTTTGCAGTTTGAAACATGGCAATTGGCCAAGGTTTAGGACCCGCCTCTCTAGACGATCGATACAACACTTTTTTGTTCCGTCTGTGTAGTCCCCATTTCTGCATTTGTTTTTGCTTAGTCCTAGCAAATTGCCACGTTCCAACTTGTAAGGACCGGTAGCCGCCGCGTGCGGTGACCTACTTTCGCTTGCGCGGCGACCTCAGGGGACTCTTGTCTCGCATCCCCCCTCTCCTGCATATGTCTGAACCTGGTCTGAAATTGCAGCCATGGCATCTGCAATCATGACATGGCTAACGTGCAGTCATGTAGGGCTTCGACATAAACTGCCAAT